ATATATATATATATAATGTTTTAAAATTAAATAATTATTTATCTATTCAAATTAACGTATATTATAATTTTCGATATTATATCAATAATATTATTAATATATTTATAGATAAACTAATAATTTGATAAATATAACTTGTTATATATTAATATACTTTTACAAAAATATAAGTATATTAATTAGAAATATATATCTGATCTTATATATTTATATTTTTGTAAAAGTATATTAATATATATTAAGTTATATTTATCAAATTATTAGTTTATTTATAAATATAGTAAAAATATTATTGATATTAATTTATCAGTAATATTAAAATACTAATAATATATAAATTTTATTTATTTAGTAATAATAAATATATATCATTTGATACATTAAAAAAATAATAATATACGTTAATTTAAATAAACAAACAATTATATAGTTTTACATTATATATATATATGTGTATATATTAAAATTTTAAAATTATTAAATTTTTAATGAGAAAGACTAAACAATTATGATATTTGAGAGATTCAAATTGTTCAATTAAAAATTGTGAGACTAAAATTACACAACTATAATCTTTTAAGGACTGAAATTACTTAATTAAAACCTTAGAGATCAAAATTACATAATTATAATATCAAAAACACAATTAAGTAAATAATATTTTATTCACAGTATTGGAACGGTCCGTTCTGAATCCAGAACGGGCCGTTGTGAATCCAGAACGGGCAGTTCTGAAAGCAGAACGGGCCGTTCTGCTTCACTGGTGGTGTTTTAATTTTGCACCCAGAACGGCCCGTTTCGGTTTCAGAACGGACCGTTCCGGGTCCAGGTGTTTTCAAAAAAATTCTCATCCACGTGGATGCCACGTATGCTGCCACGTATGCATCTACGTGGCATCCACGTGGCCAAAAGTTAACTCTGTTTAAATAATTTGGACGGAAGTCCCACATTGAAACTAATTAATTAATTTGGGACTAAATTGAAACCAATTAATTAGTTTGGGACCAAATTGAGACCAAAAACTAATGAGGGACTAAATTGAAACAAAAAAAAGATTATAAGGGACCAAAAGAGGATTTTAGCCAATTTTCTATTGTGGTAGGTTTTTAACAAAAAAATCAAAAGGAAAATAAATTTCTACTGTGTTATTTTTATTATACAGAAGGAAAAAATTAATAATTCCGTTGAGGGAGAAGAAAAAAAATGGAGAAAGAAAAGAGACAAAGGAAGGTATTTTGATGAAGAAAAAGAAGATAGTAGAGGAAAAGATACAAAGAAGAAAGAAAAGGAGTGTGGTAAAATCAATGGGCTTAAACAATTAGATTGGGCCAGCAAACATGGTTCATGATTGTTCTAGTGCTGTTTCACCACGTGCTGGTTGGTTGCTTTGAAGGAGTGCTTATAACTCCACAGAATTGGAATCTTCAATTAAACATCTTCCCTTCTCTGTGATTCATCATTCTTCTACACTTTATTAAAGTCTTTAAGACCTTAAATATTTAACGCAATTATTAAAAATTAAATTCAAATTAGTATAATATATATATATATAAATAATACTAATAAAAGCTTAGAATTTCAAATCAGAAGTGCTCGTATAGATTGTACTATTGTAGTGATATTAAGAGTAGTACGTATTACTCTAACCCACCAGTACACTGTCGTCTAGAGTGTATTTATTTTGTGTGTCTCATTCACTGAGGAAAGTATCAGAATTGATTTTCCACATGACATCACATACCAGTTACCACTCGTTGCATGACCCTTCAAAAGCAATGAGAAGTACCTTTCGTGAAAGGCTTTCTCTCCCTCAAAGTAAATTTCATAGGGATACTCGTATTTTATTATTACTAGGAAATCTTGTTTAGATTTCTAGACTTTGATTCAACTATAAGGGATAAAATAAAAATGATGTAAAAACGTGATAGTTTCCACGTTTTTCATGTAAAAACTAGTCTGATGAAAAACCAAACACAGCACTTTAATGCCGCACGTCCAAGCTATATGCATTAAAAATTGAAAGATAGTAGTAAATTTATATTCCACTTTCTGAAGCACGTCCGTGTGAAAATCTGTATCTTACAAATATAGAATCACTTACCTTAAACATGATTAAAAGGCAATTCAAACAGACACGCAGTTGTTCAGTATAATCACAGAGATCCAAATGACAGGACCTTTTAAGACTATGTAACAACCACACTTTTTGTGACCAGTTGCTATCATGGCATCGCCCACCACCCTGTTCACACACACACCTTATGACCTTAGTCAATCACACTTTTTTCCTTTTATTTTAATCATATAATTATATATGTTCTTGAGCACCTTAATGAAAATTTAATTCTTTAATTATATATCTATATAGAATATATTGTTTAAATAAACAAAAATTCACTTTAGTAATTTTTATATATTTTTTAAAGAAATTATTTCTCATTGTTAATTATATGATAAAAATTACACATATACTAATGTTCCGCATTGATAAGTATTGTTCGTTTTGAGCTCAAATCCTCACAATTTTATTTTTAGACATAACGCAAAAAATCTCTCAATCAATAGAGATAATTGTATATATATAAATTCATGTTCATCTTCTTATTTGAACATGTGAAACTTTACTTGCATCCCAACATGAATCAACAATAATCGATATAATCGATATCAATTTATATTTTTAATTAAATTGGTAGAAATTTGTACCCTGACAAGGTTTATATAAGAAGAATAAAAAAAGTAGTGCAAAAAAAAGTAGTGCAGGCCTTGACGACTACTTATCAATTATCATGCGAAGTGTAACCGTAACCTTTGGATTTGCCAAATGCCGAATGAACATTCACGGAAAAGTAGAAAAGTGAACTTTATCTGTTTCTTCTTTTTTATTTTCCTTTTGAGCCAAGATCGTAAAAGTGCGTTTACTTATATTATAACCCCAAGCACCTTTTTTTGCTACATTTCCAAGCACTTTTCAATTATATATGAATTAATATTTTTATCCAACTTACTAAATATTTGAAGAAAAATCATTTTAGCTTCTTAATAATTATATGTTATGCTTTTATTATTATTTTTAATAATATTTCTAAAAAAACTCGTTAACTGGATTTCATATAAAATTTTAACAACGTGAAACACACACTCCTTAGTGCTATAGGAATAATCAAATGGTGTACGACAAGTCAATTAAAGTTATTTTATTATTTATCTGTGGCTAGGGACATGTAGGGAACTGGGTTGGTGAAATAGTTACTAAGACAGTAAACTTTTCAATGGTATAAAATTAATATTTATTTATCTTTATTTTATTACTATATTTCTTGTTGAATATGGGAATAAACTTTCTTGTGATTCTTTTTTATTAATAACACTGTATATAAAATTATATATGTTTGTTTATTTGAAAATACATGGTGTATATTATTTTAAGGAAATATTTTTTTGGTACTTTCTTTCGTAACATACCATTTTCCATCCAAAGTTAACATAAATACACACACATTTCTTGGTCAAATCATTTATTTAATTAATCCATTTTTTTATGTTTTTTTCCCATAGTCGAGTACTTGTTTATTGCGTTATGTGAATTTTCGATTTTTTTTAAAATATTATAACATTTAAAAACTTGGACACGATTGGACAAAGGGTAGATTTGTCATTTAGTTATTTTTTAAAATATATACTCTTACTTTATTTGTAATGATTAAATTGGGATTAATGGTGTTGTATTATTTTAGTCATTTTATGGTGGATATTGCATGTGATGATTAATGATTTTGCTGGGTGTACAATTTGTTTTCCATGCGATCATAGATCATTCATCTGAAATTGTTAGTTTGATTATGATGTAAGCAAATGAAATATGGGTAAATAGATTTGATTTAAAGATTGTAATTAGTTAATGTTATTTGTGGAAGAAAAAAAATGTGATTTCTTTCATATTTAGTTTGCTCGTATTGATTTCTGTTCATGCATATCAAATGAATTATCGGGTTAATTTTTTACTAGAATTGTGTTCAGAAATTTTTTTAACGTTGTGTTATTATTATTTTTTTTTTGGTACTGTAGTGTGTTGTT